GCATGACTAACACAGGAGGAAAATGATTAGCCCTTCAATACACCACGTATCAAATTGAATGATTTTCTTCTTACATTTGTTTGGAACACTGGCCAAAATGTAATAGCCAGCAAATACAATAAGAGTTAAGTTGCTTTGCTTCTTTTAAAATAAAGTCTCCAATTCACTCTCATTGAGTCAATTCTGACTCCCAGCTACTCTATGAACAGGAGCACCACGCCTCTTGGTTTCTGATGCTGTAAATTTTTACAGGAGCAGACAGCCTCATCTTTCTTCTTTTAGAACTACTGCTGAGTTTGAACTGTTGACCTTGTGATTTTCAGTCCAATGCCCACTATGCCATCAGAGCTTCTAAGAATTTTATCAAAATTATTAGAGAATGACTTATTGTCATAAACTACATATTATGGATGCCTAATTGATCACATTTATTGTATGTTTTAAGAATCAAATTTAGAGTAAAAAGAATAAAGCTATAATTTAAACAAATTTAAATACCTGCAAATTTATTTTCTATGGACATCAATCCCTTTATTTATTTAATAATACAATTGCTGGTTTATCTCTGAGCATTTGGCAAGCATACAAAAACAGAATGTTTCAAGGACCATTCACAAAATCATTTTATTGCTGAATCTGGGGGTAAAGAGGAATGGGTGACATAATATCAGAAAAGTGGTTTAGGGCTCTGAATACCAGGCAGACTTTAGCACTTAATTGTAGAAAAGGTAAAACAATGGAACATTTAAGAATCTTGTTGTTGGTGCTTCCAAATCTAACTTGTGTACCCAGGTGAACAGAGTAGACTAGTTACAAAAGTAGATAACCAGCTCTTTCTGCTTACTGGTTGTGTTCAAACTACCAACCGTTTGGTTAGCCACCTTTGCTTAATTAGTATGCCATCAGGGCTCTTTTTAGAAATCTTAGCTAAAAAATCAAAGCCCTGGTAATTACAGGTATCCTTCCTGTAGTCGTAATACTGTGTCAACTTGAGGGTATTGAGAGTGAAGGAATGGCATCTAGCCTGTCAATCAGCTCACAGCCCTATGATGCCTCCTTGTGGGAATGCCTTCTCCTGAGAATTCTGGGAACTTTCTCTCGCTCTGTGTTTGTCTTCCTGTTGACAAGTCACTTGGATAGCTGCCTGGGGCCTGCCAGAACCCTGAAGATGCGCCCACTACAATTGGATCCACAAGACTTTGCATTCACCAGCTGGTGATCTCCCTGCATTTTGCATCATGTTAAAGGACTGTGTGAGTCTGAAGAAGGATCTCTGGACTAGTATTGGACCTATGGACTAATATGAGACTTATGGATTTGATCAGGACTGGGATGGGATGTTTTCTTAATATACAATTGTTCTTTGATATAAAGCTCTCTCTCACACATATATGAGTTTCTCTGGATTTGTTTCTCTAGTCAATCTGATCAAACACACTCCCTAAGGCAGAGACTGAAGGTGAGTGTTTCAGCTTAAATTCTTTTCCTGGTAGAAGCCTAGGCCTGGCACTAAGCATAAAAAAAA